TTTACCCATTTTCCAAACAATTAAAAACATTTACCCATTTTAAAATTAAGAAGGAAAAAAAAAAAAACATTTACCCATTTTCCAAACAATTAAAATTTGATGCAAAGGGGTCTAATAAATACAAATAATGACACCAATATACCATTCAGATACACAAAATTAGAACACAATATAATTCATAATTAACACAAAAGAACACTTTTTCAGACAAAATTAGATAAATTGCTATCATCAATCAATAAATAATAATAATTCTTCAGTCTAAATTAGTATCATCAATTAATTACTTATGAGATGGGGAAATTAAAATTTTAATAATAATAAAAAAAATAAAAATAAAAACAATAGGGTGTGAGGAAAACTTTCATAAGAGCACTTCTTGAGCATCTTTTCGAAGATTTTCAACCAGGTTGGATCGTCGTCGACGACGAGCACACGGAGACCCGCCGGAAAGGCATCGCTCCGAGGATTCCATGATGAACCAACAGATCGATGTGACTGTGAAGATCGAATTGTGAAAGATTATTCAGGCACAGACAACACTTGAACTAGCTAGGTGTTAACCCCTTGACGGTTGTCCAAGGGAAGACATGGGCATTTCAAGGCCATGCCATGTCTTAAGAATACTTTGACTTTGATTAGACACTAGGGCATATATAGAATATAGAATACAAAGGTATAGACTATAGTAATTTTGTATCACTATTATTGGTAAAGAAGAGAGAGAGAGAAAGAGAAAGAGAGAGAGAAAGAGACTTTAAAAAGGAGCTTGTTCTGGTTTTCAAGGGAGGAAGAGAACAAGGAATATTGGCGCCGGCTGTTGGTAGGAGCTAACGGTCCCTACGGCGCACGTTAGTAATGTATGTGTGTGTGTATATATAAGATATATATTTTAATTTTTGTAAAAAGAAAATACACCGACTGATGGGAAAACAAAATTATTGAAAATATATGAAAAAAAAAAAGGGAGAATATTCTGATGGGTAACTTTGGCAATTGAAGGTACCAAGGTATAAGCTAACACGAATTATTGTGGGTCTTAAGTGGGTGAAATGCACCATCCATGAATTAATGGGTAACTTTTGATTAAGAAATGCACCACCAATGATGAAGACTGTGTGTGTAACCCACCAAAGATAACATATTCTGTATCTCTCTCATAGTGAAACATAGGAATTGACGAGTTGCAGAGGTCCTTTTACTAAGACAGTGAAAGATAGGAATCGAGGAGATGTAGAGGTCCTTCTGCGAAGTTGTCTATGATACCAAAAAAATATATATATATAAACAATTCTATGTTATTGTCTTTTAAGAAAATAAATAATAGAGTAAAGTACAAAAAAAATCCTTTTGAACTATGTTTGAATTTGTAAATAACCCTCTTGAATTATATTTTGTACATAAACTTCCTAAATTATCTCATTTTGTTGCAACATACCCCAAATACTATACTATATTTTATTAAATGATCATAATGTCCCTTCTTATTGAATTACATTTAATATATTTTTCTTATCTAAATAAATTATGAAATAATTCATACTAATTTGATGAGATATTCTTCATTAAATTTGCATAAATTTACTTTTAATTTTTTAATTAATTATTTAAATAAAAAAATTTAGTACAAATTTTTTAAAAAATTAATTTATTTTTTAATTTTTAATGAATATATTACCTGAAAAAAAGGTTTTTTTTTTTCAAAAGTATTTTATTAATTTTTAATCAATATATTGTATGAAAAAATGATATTATTTTACGATAAAAATGTTTAAATTGGTTATAATACATTTTATTATAAATAATAAAATTTTAATAATAAGTTAATCAATTTAGAAAATGGTACTTACAAATCTAGTTATTTTTTTTTTTTTTCATTTTTATGATAAATTGGTACTAAAAATAAAATTAAGGTATATTGTATAATTAATATTTACATAAGAGAAAAGATAATAAAAATAATTTAATAAGAAATAAAAATTTTAATAAGAAAGAGTAAAATAGACTTTTATGATTAATTTGTTTTTAATTACGATAAATTAATAGTTTAGAGGAACAGTTTTTAGTTCAGAAATATTATTTGAAAAAAGATAATAATTTAGGAGAGTTTTTTATATTTAATCCTAAATAATATGTCAATTTAAAATTACAAGTTAATGTCATTCCCGAAGAAAGTAGGCCACTTCACATCTTAGAGATCGAAAGTTTGAATCTCTTGTAGGGACTCTTTTGACTACTGAAAAGAAATTGGAGGGCAGTGGAATTTGGGGCTATAGAGAAACTGGTGAGTTAGATGCCACGTTGCCACATACAATTCAATAATTTATACTTATGGAGCACCATGTACTTGGAGAGTACTATATATAGTGGGATTCTTCTGTTCAATATATTAGTGTGTGTGTGTGTGTGTGTGTGTGTGTGTATTGCATTATATTAACTCCAAACCCTTCCCTGAAGGGTAAAAGCTCCAATACACTCAAGACAGAACCTATCTCTTATCCAATTAGTGTAAGACAGAACATCCCTTATCAGGTAATATTAGGGATCTGACGGCTGTTGCTTTCAACAACAACTTTCACTTTAGTTTGCATATATTTTAATTCTTTTTTATTGACATTATTTTTTATTATATATATTTATTATTATTATTATTTTGGTATAAAGATTCATGCATGAAAGGCAACTCATTTGAATTTGTACTTGGTCATTATTATTATTATTACCTTTTTTTTTTTTTTTTTTTTGGCACAATGATGGTAGTCTCAGTCATCTTAAAGCATCCTTAATCAATCCTCTAAAAGCATTCTTAATCAATCACGACGTTCATGTTGTCCATGTAGTCTTTAATAATTTTTTTTTATAAAAATATCTTTAGGTGTGTTTGGTTGTATTGAATTAAAATTTGTGAAATTTGAAAAAAATTTGATTCGATTTTTTTAGTTCTTTTTTTCAAATTTCACTCGTTCCAATTTCAAGTCTCAAATTTCATACAATCGAACACACCTTCAAAAAAATTTGAACCTCCAACCAACACGATGTGAGGTGAGAGTATTTGTCATTTAACTATGATGGATATTTCTATACTTTTTCTATGAGGACAACAACTACATTTGTAAATCATCTTAAATAATCTTTGCTATTGATAGACATCTTAATACCATAATTTGCTCTATTAATTCTAAATAAGGTTGCATCTTGTTGAGTTCTAAGTTTCTTTTTATAAGAATATATATATATATATATATATATATATATATATATATATATATATATATATTACAAAAGAAAGAAATAAAAAGGAAAGGAAGAAGTTGTTTCACTAAAAATTCACTTTAGGTTTAGTGACCAACAAGAGCAAGTTTCCTCATCCACATTGAAGGACCTCCAATATAAAACATTATGACATGATTCAACACTAAGTACAGTCTAAGCTTTCATTGGTGGGATCTATTCCATGTTCTTTTGTCACTAGGTTGATGTGGCCTTTGAATTTTTTTTCTGTCCCATAAAGGTACACCTTTTTTTGGGAGTGGGCCTTTCAAAAGGGCTCTAAAAGGAAAATGCCCACTTACAAGAGATAAATTATTTGTGCTTAAAGGGATGATAAGAATGATTGGAGATTAGCAAATTGGGAGGATGAATTCAACGCAACAACTCTTAAGTAGACTCTTTCTTTTGTTTATTTTATCAAAAGGTGAGAATTTTACTTCAACCTACAGATGTTCCAATTTGATGCTTCATGTGTTATTCTGTAGTTATGCACTAATATTTTTCCCTTTTTTTTTTTGTTTTCAATAACTCAATTCTTCAAAACTAGCTTAAAGATGCCATAATACTAATTCATGTGTTCTGTTCCAAGAATATGCCATACTTTTGAGTTTGGGCCCCATGAGAGCAGATAGAGACCTACCCCAATTCAACCAAACTAGGGTTCTGGGAAAGGTAGATTGTATATAAACATAACTTTGATTTTTCTTTAAATAATGATACGGAATTCAACTGTGGAATAATATCTTGTTTTTATTTGATTGGGGGCTGATGTTATCATGACATCAACCCCCACTCACGTAAACTAGCTGGGAGAGGTAGATTGTATATATAAACATAACTTTGATTTTTGTTTGAGTAATGATGCGTAGTGGACAGTTGTATCACTCAAACTATTTTTATTTGACTGGGGGCTAAAGTTAGTCCTACCACTGACATCATGACATTAGCCTCCACTCAAATCAGACTTCATATCATTTTCCTTTTTATTTTCTTCTTCTTCTTCAATTTTTATTTTATTTTATTTTTTTGAAATTTAATTCCATCATTTCTTGGTGAAAATGGGGGAGGGAGGCCCCCTAATATAATTTTGGGCTTAAATCTATTAGTCAAGATTCTGTTTTGTCCATTGGGTCATTTGTAGAGAATATAAATAATGGGCCTCACCATTAAAGCAGGCCTGCCTTGCAGCTTTCTGAGTAGGTGGTCTGTCTCAAAGTGTCAAACTGTAGGCCCAATTTACAGTCTCCTAGTTATCGTAGTCTAAATAAGAGAATCAAAGTACAGGCCCATAATCAAGTTCAGCCCAAAGCTTAAAACAAGAAGTAAAAGCTCTTGAACATTAAACCAGGCTGAGTCAGACCCATTCTCTAGAGGTTATTAAAGATGTAGACTAGTTTTGAAGATACACAATGAAGTGTAAAACATAAGTAGTTTAACATTATAAGCATGAAGTTTTGCTTGCAGTAATGGGTATTCTAAGTGTTTATTCACAACTACAAGGTACCTACAAATGAAATCTCTCACAACACTAGGGGAATAAATTAGATTATGATCATGAATATTTCCAAAAATCCCTTTTGCTTTGGTGGCTTTGGTTCTTATGCAAGTCTTCAAAACTTTAAAAAAAAAAAAAAAATTAATAATGCAGCCCATTGTTCCATTATTCATTCAACCAAACAAGAACATATAGGGCCCTTTCTGTACAATAATATCATGATAGAAATGCATCAGACAACAAGATACACATTATACATAATTTTTATTCATGATCTGTCATACATAATCATACAATAACTAGTAGAAATCCACATAGTAAGCAATTCTAGGAGATTTTCATTCCCATTGCAACACTCAGGTTCTAAAAAGCTCAGTTGTGTGCAACAGTACAAGATTCACCACATAATTGCAGACTCCCTAGTCCTTACTTTCATCTACACTGCTCATTATGGGACTTCACAAATCCTTAAAGCCACCTGCCTGATCTTGATCCAATGATTAAGTTGTGACATATCTCCGAGAGGTATCCAGTAGTTCGGTTAAGTATATACAGCCACGAGAGATGAGATAATCAGACTTCTCTAGATATACTAGACTATATACATACAACGGGTGGTCGCCTGATTGGCTTGTTTCATAGTTGAGAACTTTCTTCTATCATTTAGATCAGGTAGTCGTATAGAAACAAATGGCTGTCCGGCATTGTGAGTGGCAAGTTCTCAATAAAAAGGTAGAATCGCGTTAGGTTCTCCTTTGCAAGAGTAATCGCGTCAACCACATCACTGTTACTAGTGAGAACCCATAAATCTCTGGAGTCAATTCTCTTTAGGCTGCCTCGGCAAAATGGGCAGGATTGAGATCGCACATTCCTGCGATACAATGTTTAATTAGTACATTTTAAGAACACACCTCTATTAGTACAACAACAATGACAACAATCAAGCCTTTTCCTAATTGCTAGGGGGTCGGCTACATGAATCCTATGTTTCCATTCCGCTCTATTTAAGGCCACAGCCTCATTCAATCCCCATGCTATCGTACATTTCTTTACTAACTCTATCCATGTTAACAACACACTTTTATTAGTGATCCATGAAATTCTTAGGAAGGTACTTTGAGAAAGAAGTGAATAATGGAAATGTGGATCATACCAGTCATGGAAACAGACATTGCACATGGAATGGCCACAATTAGGCAATACCATCTTGGTGCTAGTTTCCATGCATATCCCGCATTCATCATCTCTCTCGGGATCTTTAACAAAATGTTTCCCCTTCCCTTCCACCCTTTGTCTGTTCAACATTTCCGAGTTTCGAGTTCTCTCATTTTCGTCCTCCAATTCTATTGTATCGTCTTCCAGTTGCTTAAGTAAAGGATATATAACAGCTGCAAAAATGTGTCAATTAAAATGAGTATCTACTAATGAAAGAATACATGTACATAAACCAAAAAAAGGAAGAAAAATGTAAAAGAAATCAAACCATAGAATTCCCTTAGAGTGGCTCTCCTTTCTTGTGAGGACATTGTTGGCATTCCATCAACATAAACCTGTACAAAAAATTAAAAAATGTAGATAATGATTTTGGTTAATAAACTGAGGTGGAAAAAGAGGGTTCAATGCTATCTCTTCCATCTCTCCAAATGTGAGGTTGAGGGTTCAAGCCCTATTCGGGGCAAAACGTTTGTATGAGGAAAAGAATCAACAAGAACAGAAACAAAGGAAAGAACCCAATCTAAATAGTCCACTTGATTTCCACATTTATTTATTTATTTTATTTTTATTTTTTTTGGAATTATATAAATGGGGAAACAAAAAGCTGAATTAATAACAGCCCACCTTGTTTATAAGTACATGAAGGAGGCCGAAGTAGCCTGGTAGTGAATCTGTACAAGTACAATCCATCCATTCTATCAAAAATAGCAAGAATGGAGCAAAAGGGCTGTAAGATAATTTCATCTGAATGTAATCCCCATCATAATCTCTTGGAAGAGAAGCTGCCCTGTGAAACCCACCCAGAAACCAAAATAAATAAATAAATAAATCAATAAAAACATAATCAAACACACCTTCTTGGTTCAAGCTCAGCATTAAAAGAACAAACTGAATTATTGATAATCACCCAAACCTTGAAACTCCTCCCCCAAAAATAGAATAAAAAATAAAAAATGCATCCAAATTGAAGTTTTGTGGAATAACCCCAGAAAGAGATGAAATTTTAAAAAAGAAAAAAAGGGGTTATAGTCTGAAAAAGTATCTCATCTTGAGGTATTTCTCACCATAGTTCCCATGTCCAAAAGAATCTTCAAATTTACAAACTTTACCTTCTTAAAGACATCCTACCTAACCACCATAACTAAATCCATCTAAATTCACCCCAAATACAAACACATATGTATGTGTGTGTAATTTATTGATCATTTCAGGGTGTATCATACTGCAAATGGCTTCTATGAAATTTGACTCTTAAACCAAAGAAAAAACAGCACACACACACACACACACACACAAAAAAAAAAAAAAAGTGATATAAAGTAGAACAGTATGAAGGAGAATTTTGGAAAAGCTTACAGGGTATTGGCATGTTGTAAATCAGCTTCAAGGGCTTTGATAGATTCTCTGAAAGAAGATTTGTGGGATTGTTTTTGCCACATTTAATTTCACCCTTTTTTGAGTTCTGAGAAGAAAGAACAGGGAATAAAAAGTGATAAAAGAGGGGGCTTTTTGGGAGGGGGGGATTTAAAGGGTTTGATGAAAAAGAGGGATGGGGCTAGTTTGCTTATACCTGTAACCTTTCCCCACTTCAAGAAAAGAAAGGGATATCTCTTCTCTCACTCTCTCTCTCTCTCTCTCTCTCTCGTGTGTCCTTATCTTTGCCTTCATTTCTTTCCTAGCTACTAGAATAATTGCTTGGGAGGGGACTATGACTTCCAAGTCTGACTTTGCTGAGCTTGCATTTGGGGGACTATATGACTTTCATCTCTCTCACACAAATAGAGATTACCCTTTTTTTCTTAGGCTACCACATAGACACTTGACAATTCATTATCTATTGCTGAAAATGTAAGATAATGGGCTAAGGGATTCGTAGTTCAAGTGTAGGGTTGTTTCCAAATGTTTTGGGAGCTCCACTTTGAGTCTTCGTACCCCTTATTTACTCATCATTAATTTCTAATTTTCTTGACATGAATATATATATATATAAGATAGTAAAATTCTTAATAAGTGAATAAGAAGTAAAATTATTGTATGGTGTTTGGATTATTGATCCTAATAAATCACATGATGACGTGCCAGAAAAAAAAAATAATAATAAAATAAAATAATATAAGTCTGACACATTTAGTTGCGTATCAGCTAGAGATTGGTTTGCGAATGGTTCTGAAATCATGTAATGATTTTTGGAATAAGAGGCTCGCGAATGGACAATAATATAGAATGCGTGATCTTTCTCTATAAAAGAAGAAATGTTCGAGGCCTATTGAAATTTTCCTTATATATGGCGTATCATGTCATTATTATACCTTGTTATAAACTGTAATAAGTAAAAATATATATATATATATGTTTTAGTAAATATATGACTGTTGGTTTAGTTAGTGGGTAATACCATATCATTCGTATCTTGGATACCTTAAAAGCTTTTTTCCTACTAGGAATAATACTATGAGTGTGCATTTTTCCTTGAACTTTTGAAAACAAAAAAAATAGTGAATAAAAGTTTCCATATAAATATAAAAATAAAATTGGGTGGTAACTCTAGACTTGTTTTTTTCTTTTGTTTTTTTTTTTTCCCCTGTAATTTTAGGTTCACACAATGGGAAAGGAATATAGGACCACTAGCCCCCCAGGGGTTTGGTCCAGCGGTAAGGAGAGGGCCCTGGTTCTAATATGTCCAGGATTCGACTCCCCAATGCTTCATTATATTTTTTGATTTAACGGTGCTGTCGTTGTGAGGTCGGTTGTAGCACCCTCGATTTGTAATTTAGGATGGGTCCAAAAAGGCCCTGTCCAGGGAGTTTTGAGTTCCAAAAAAAAAAAAAATATATATATATATATATATATAGGACCACTGGGAACAGGTGGTACTTGGGTTTTGTAAATATGGTTGAGTCCAAAGCGGTTGTATGCATATAAATAGGACTATAATTGAAAATGAACTTAGAGTTCCGATTTGACTTGTTAAAACCTTGGCTTATGTTCATTGAAAGTAACGAATCTCAACTATAAATTTGTTTGTTAAAAGGAGCCGAATTTTAAAATATGATAAATTCGACTTGTGTAACCTAGTCACATACCAATTAATTGATAAAAGAAATTAAAAAAAAAAGTATAATACAATACAAAAATAGAAAAATAATATATTTATTGTCAGTTGAGCTGAACTTGAATGTGAGAACTTGTTTAACAGTAAATCTGAAATGAATTCCAGATCAACTTTATAAATAAAAAGATTGAAGTAGAAGCGCTCATTCTTAAATGTATAAATTTTTTTTTTCTTCTAAATCCACTATATAATGAATAAGGTCAATTAAAACGGATAAAAATCATATGTTATAGAAAATTCAAAATTGATAACTGAACACTGGACTAATGGACACTGCAAGTCCATGAAAAAAAAAAAAAAAAAACCAGAAACATGGAAATGAGATAATCATACGATAAAGAAATAAAATTCTGACATAATGTCCAGCTTGTAGCAGGGTTGACTTGGTCTAAAGGCACAGGGCGATATATATACGCAATTCTATATATATACTATATAATAAATCTCATTGAACAATCTAAGCACTGATTAGTTTTATATTCTTTAATTCTCATCTTGTAATGATCAGTTTTGAACAATTAAATTGTTTTTATTAGATATCATGTGAGCCCATTTTAGGTATTATAATGTTACTTAATTATATGCCCATACATAACAATATATATATATATATATATATTTTAACATCAGAAATAATAACAATAAGATAACATAGCATATGTATTGTTTTTCATGCAAATGTAATTATTTAAAGTAGGGTTGTCACAAAAATTTAGGGCAGAAAAGATTGGGACCATCTATGTCAGAGTAATTTTAGTTGAAGGTACAACTGGAGCCATCTTTACATACCATGTCCCACACATGGAAGGGCCATCATCATCAACTGCATCTTTTTTTTCAACCTTCAAGGACAAGTTGGTGGGGCCCAAAGCTTTTGTTTTTATCAAAAAGTAATAAACAAACAAGATTATAATCTATATATATATATATATATATATATATTTATTTATTTATTTATTTATAAAAAAAATATATTATATTAAAAGTTAATGGTACCAAGCCTGAGGCAACCCAACTGATAGACTATGTTAATCTTTGCTTAAAATATTATTCGCTTTATTTCAAAATAATTAGATATTACTTACAAAATTAAAAGTCATAATTTTTAAAGTACCTAACTATTTTAAAACAGAAGGAGTAATTCACTCTCTATTTTTTTTCTTAGTTATTATTATTTTTAGGTATAAAGAAATAACATTAGGAAAAAAAAAAAAATTCAATATTGGACTGCAAAGTGGGTAACCTCTTTTCATGGACTTCTAATTGGAATAAAGTAGGTGGCCTCTTTTCATAAACTCCTAATTCAGATTAAGTTTGATTTAACTTGAAGCAACTTTTACAATTAATTTAATACTTGACCATCTAGATTAGCCGAATATGTAGATGAGAAGAAAAAATATCCAACATCTGGAAAAAAAAAAATGCAAATTGGAAAAAGGTCACGAGGCGTTTTTTACATGCTTTGAAACTGTCTATTTCAATAACTTAATATGGATTGAAAGTAAATTGACATATTTAATATCAAACCTAACCAAATAAATGAATGGTTATTGAAATGGACATAAAATAGACTCTCTTATTGAAATGGACATAAAATAGACTCTCTTTTTTTCTTTTTCTTTTTTGAAATGGAGAAGTTCCAAATTCTCCTTTTTCCTTTTCTATCCCTTTTTCTCCAAGAGGAAAAAAAAAGGAAAGGAAAGAAATGGAAAACAAATTAAAGAAGGATGTCATAGCACACATTTTCATCAGAAAAAGATATGCATGTTCACTACCATGTAGGTGTCATTCCCATGTTATCACAAATATTTCCTTTCTGTTTTACTATAATTAAGTGACTTCAAATGATAATAAACAACAGAAACCAATATATATATTGGAAACATCAGAAAAGTTTTTTTATTTTATTTTATTTTATTATTATTAATTTTACTTTATAGCTTTAGCTGGTACATCATGTCATGTACTCAATTATTTTCCAAAGCAATAAATGTGAACCTGAAAATTCTTCTTCCATGAAGTAGCATTTTTCCAATTATCAAAAGATCCCAACATGAATAAACATTGTCCAACTCATCAATGATAAAGTGAAAGACAAGTGGAGAAATGATGGGTGAGTTGTCTTAACTTGTCAAAGATTCTTGGTTCTATCATCAACTGAAATGTTAAAATTACAAAAAATTACAGAGTTCATCAATATAGTAGATTATGGTTGTGGAGGTATTAGGACTTCTAGGTCAATATAACTTGGGATGAAAGACACTCTGAAATTTAAAATTTCAGTAGTCTTGTATAATTTTATTTTTTCTTCGCAAATTAGGGGGTCGGGATCCCTACACGGACACATTGGTTTGGGGAGCTGAGCGCTCTACCAATTAGGTCACTGGATAATGCATTGTAACAGAAACTTGTATGTCGATCTAAAACAATGTCATTTTGAATATAGCACGGAATGTAAATGGGAGCTATGGTGTGTATGAAATTAGCTACATCCATTGAATCCCAACTTATTAGAAATGGGAGATTTTCAGCTCAATTATGCCCTTAATGTTGAAAATAAACTTGATTTTAGTATTTAGTATTTTCAAGTATTTTTGTATCCATGATGCATGTGTTAATTTAGCATGTTAGTGGGTAGTAAATTGTTTTAGTGGAAGTTAAGGTTATGTAAAATAAAGAGTCATGAGAGTTAAGCCTAACAAATACTATGTTAGTGGGAGTTATACATATTGAAGATTATGTTAGTGGGAGATAGGAGAGTTATGGACATTTAAATGTAATGGTTACACATACATATGTGAGGCCTATATATGCATTGTACTCATTTTCTATCAAGTGAAATAAAAAGTATTTTCCTCCATTTCTATTCTCTTCCAAATAGTATAGTGTTGTGTGTGTAACTAGGCCACTATTTCCAACAAAGTGGTATCAGAGCCTAGACGATCCTGAAGGCCAGACGAAGTCGATCCTAGAAGGTTCAACATTTGAGAAAAACATGTTTTTCCTTGATGATGATGAAGGGGAGAAAATGTATTTTCTTAGTGAAAAGATGATGTTCTCTAATTACAAGAGAATGAGAATCATCATGACTTCATACCTCAAAGCATGCGATTTGTGGGATGTTGTTGGAGAAGAGCCAAAGAATGGCATGTCCAACAAGCTTCATGAAAAGAAAGAAGATAAGGCATTGATAGTGTTGCAAAAAGCAATACATCAAGAAATTTGGGAGTATTTTGGAGAGTCCAAAACTCCAAGTTGTATTTGGAAGATGCTCGAGACCATCGTTTCCAATCATAGAAGTGAATCACTACCCATGGAGTATTGGGTACAATGCTTTGAGAATGATGAGTTTACGAAAGATGATTATGAAAGTCTTGAAGATTTTGGAGATTCAAAAGTTGAAGGAGAATTTGAAATGGTGAATAAGGAAGAGGTAAGAAAATGTGTTAAAGAAGAGATTGAAAAAGTGAAGGAGGATGAAGTGAAAATAGAAGATTTAGAAGAAGGAAGTGCTAAAGAAGAGGCAAAAGTTCAAGTTGGTGAATTAACATCTTCAGGTATGGTTACAAATTTCACCTTGAAAGAAGTTATATTTGACTTATTTGATGAAATTATTATTTCTTCATATTCATCAAATAATGCTTATTTTGTGGAGAATGATGAACTTCTTTTAAAGAAAGTTGTTCCAAAGAAGTATGAAATTGAAGCCCAGGATGATAAGAAATTCTCATATTATTTTTTAAAAAATAGTTTGGAGAATTTTGTAATTGATACAGGTTGGGTGAATATGGAATTATTTTTTGACTCTAAAGAAGAAGTATATGTGAAGTTGAAGATCCATAAAAATTTTAGAAGAAAAAAGATCAATGGTGTGCTTGTATAAAGAGGATGATATATGATTATGTGAAGACATCAAACAAGCATTTGAAGAAGTTTCACAAGCCCTACACATCAATGGAAATGGCCAAGAAGATTGAAGCTATTGAAGGAGGTGGAATTGAAGATCAACTATAACTTTTGATCAAGCCCCCAAGATTAATAAGAAGGTTTTTCAAGTTACAAAATCAAGTTTAAAGGGGGGTGTTGAAAATAAACTTAATTTTAGTATTTAGTATTTTCAAGTATTTTTGTATCCATGATGCATGTGTTAATTTAGCATGTTAGTGGGTAGTAAATTGTCTTAGTGGGAGTTAAGGTTATGTAAAATAAAGAGTCATGAGAGTTAAGCCGAACAAATACTATGTTAGTGGGAGTTATACATATTGAAGATTATGTTAGTGGGAGATAGGAGAGTTATGGGCATTTAAATGTAATGGTTACACATACATATGTGAGGCCTATATATGCATTGTACTCATTTTCTATCAAGTGAAATAAAAAGTATTTTCCTCCATTTCTATTCTCTTCCGAATAGTATAGTGTTGTGTGTATAACTAGGCCACTATTTCCAACACTTAAGAACCAAAAAAAAATGCAAGTCCTTTACACCTTTTTAATAACAATTCTGATTTATCTTTATTTACTTGACAGAGAAATCTAAGCATTCATCAGATAATCCATGAGAACAAAATCTAAAAATTTTCAGTCTACTAGTCCATTTTGAAGGATTTCTTAACCGCAGATATGATTTGCCAGAACTTTAATCCGATGCTGTACTCGAACAGCAGAAAACATTTACAGCCATATGACAAGATAAAATTTATCAGAAAGCAATAATCTCACCAGTAAAGCAGCAGCAAGAATTCATAGCACACTGCTCGATTTAAGTCCTTCGCGTAGCTTTTGAAGATTTTTTTTTTTTTTTAATTTATTCGATGCTGTTCTTATCCCATTTATAAGTTCTTCTAGACTGTAAAAACAGCTTTTTGTTAATCTGTATAAGCATGAAGAATATATGTATTAATGTCCCCATTATTGATGTCATTAAGAACACCAAAGACTTGCTTACGACAGATTGGTTTTTTTATGAAGCCAAAGAGTCTTTTGGTCTGTTGTTGACATAAACTTTGTGCGGACATCATGTGAGATTCGATTCAACCATCAACATTCATGGTAATAAATCTGTCTCCCCTTTTTTTTTTTTTTTTGTGGGGGGGGGGGGGGGGGGGGGGGGGGTAATTAGTAAAAAACCAAAGTTTGAAAATGGTTCTAAAAGGCTAACAGGAGATATGTAATGTTGCTATGTTAATGTCCTTTTCTCAAGATTTTTTTTTTTTACTAATTACAAACATTAACTTGAAACAAATGCAGCCTAGAATGAACATTTGAATTGGGGAAGAAACAATTCTAATAGAAAAGGAAGCAATAATAGCCTCTTATTAGTACCATTCCTTGGAATGATTAATACAATTGATGTCTTCGACTGCTTTATACTAACTACTTCCATCTCTAACTGCATTATACAATCTAGACATACATTACTATCAATCTACAAAATTCTCTGGGGACACAGCTTTATTTAACTTGCTCTCTGAATGTAGCCATCCGGAGCCCGGGAAAATTATTTTTTTCAAAGATCAAGAGGGGAAAAACAAAGAAGGGAAGGCAACCATGGGCATGAAACATCTAGATGCCACCCATCTTATTCTTGAAAAACTGAGAGAACGATGGACGACAGAAGTTTTGATTGAGGAAGAGATCAGAAAGGTGGTGCTGCATGGACTCTGTGAGGTGGATCCCATCCCAATTCATGTACTTGCTAGGGTCCTTGCAGCTGGATGTGCCAGGCGAGCCGCATACTGAATTCAAGTTGAAGTTGAGCTTGCCATCACCAGCTCCACAACATGCCTTGAAGGGCTCTTCGAAATGATACTGTTTTTTATTCGTAAATATTTTCATGTATGCATTCCAGTAATCGGCATACAAGATTTTACACTGAGGGAATTGACTCTGAAACCTTGTGATGGTCCGTTGAAGGATTTTGTTGTGGATCATTACCGCTGTGTTGGTAGTCATGGAACACCCCATTTTGTCATAATTTCTTGATGGACATAGCGAAATACCAGATGAAAGGCACCCCACCGGTGGTAGACCATGAACCACAATGTTCTTTGCACCACTTTCCAACAATGTCTATGGTATAAACACAAACTATGTTAGCTTAAGCTTTCACAGTAGATGATTGATAATTAAAATTTAAAACATGTGTTGGATCAAAAGGAGGTCACACGTGGAGGGCTGACAACTTAGTGGTTGTTAAGATAAAAACATCAGGAAACAAAAAAAAATTGTTTGTTTGATGCATACCTGCATAAGTTTGCTCATATGAGTAATAGACATGTCTGCAATCCTCTGAATGTTGAAAGAAGAAGAACCAGAAGCCCGAGTATAGTCAGTGACACCCATGGCACCGATCCAAAAGAGCGATTTCGACATTTCAGTCTTGCAAGTGTCCACATCCTTCCCTTTACATGCCACATTTTGAACATGCTCATGGAACCATTCTATCTGAGTTTCCACGGTCCTAATTGCCCCGTCAAACATCAATGCGTGAGGGATTGTTCCATTGGTAAAGCAGTCTTTTGGAAGACATGTTGATCCGCTTACTGCAAAGTTCACGCCATTATCGAAATTTCCATTACTGTCCTTATAGGGTGACAAGGGGGGAATGGAGAGAGCATCACAGAGGTAATCAATGACCATGCGGCCATTAGATAACCGGTTTTTAGAACCAGAAGATGCAATCTCACCCATGAATTGAGCATTTCCGGTGTCAGTGTATGAGTCACCAAAAGCAAATACTTTGGAGAAGCAACCTTTGTAGCTACCATCCAAAGGGGGTGAGGGAGAAGAAGGGGAATCAGAAAGAGGAGAAGGAGAGGAAGAAGTAGGAGTATAAGAAACCGGAGAAGGAACAGGAGAGGAAGGTTGATTGTTCGAAGCAGGTGAAGGAACAGGAGAAGGAGGCTTGCTGCTTGGAACAGGAGAAGGAGGTTTATGGCTTGGAGGAACAGGAGAATAAGGCTTGCTGCTTGGAACAGGAGAAGGAGGCTTGCTGCTTGGAACAGGAGAAGAAGGTTTGTCTCTCGGAACAGGATAATAAGGTTTATGGCTTGAAGGAACAGGAGAAGGAGGCTTGCTGCTTGGAACAGGAGAAGGAGGTTTATGGCTTGGAACAGGAGAAGAAGGTTTGTCGCTCGGAACAGGAGAGGAAGGTTGATGGCAATCAGGAGCAGGAGGAGAAGGAGATTTATGATTGTAGGTGGCAGATGAAGGAGACAAGAACAAGAAGAGGAAGAAGAAGAGTGGAAGAGAAAGGAAGTGAGAATTTAGTTTCATCATTTTGTTATATTCAAATGAGGATCTTACAAAGTTCCTTGTAGTTTGGATGACTTGCAATGTAGAGGTAAAGGGGTATTTATACATTTCTCTTCCTTAGGGGAAGCATAATTTGGTGTTGGAAGTCATATATCTATAGGTCCTCCTTGTTTTTAGGAAGGAGGATATGTGGTCATTGTTTTGAATAGAGTAACCATGAACCAAGTATCCAAAAGCTAAGAACCTCTCAATCAGATCCTTATTTCCAATTATCAAAATATCAACTTGTCAAACGTTTTTGGTTCTGTCATCCACTCAAATGTCAAAATTACCAAAATGTTCCAAATATTGGTTTCTCTCCCAAATCTTCAATGGTTTTAATTGTCCCACTTGTTCATCTATTGTGTGCCAAGGTGAATTGGTGATCATATTCTGAAAGTTAAATGACGCATAATATATGATTATATTTGGGGTACACATGCTGAAAAAAAGAAACATAATGGAACTTGCCAAAAAAAATTGAATGAGTGCTACTAAGACAAAAAATATGGAATTCATATCTTGATAAAAATCAAGAATTGTTTTAAATGCTGTGAAAAATTGAAGTGGACTTGCTAGAATACATGTGCAAATAACCTCACTTTAACAGGACAGGCAAACCGTTTTTAGTCTGTGTGTGTCTTTGCCAAGCTGAAATTGCATTTATATTTACAGTAAACAAGCTCCATGCTTCCAACTCCTCTGGTAGAAGTCTATTTTCTGTAAATAGAAGCCGTCATCACCATATATCGACACCCTCAAAGACGTTTCTGTGACCTGATATCTTGTAATCTTGATGTGAGTTCTTGTTTTCATATTTTGGAGTAGCAATCTTGGTTGACTTGGAAACACGAATGTTTTAGAAAAACATATGGCAACATAATGGGAACAAAAACTGTAGATGACATAAATGCTTTGAAATAGCTAGATTTATGTTCTAGTTCATGATTGGAAAGAGAGTTATGTTCTAGTTCATGTTCTAATATTATAGTTTTATGCTCTATTATTATTATTATTATTTTTATTTTTGCAGGTAAAAAGGGTGATGGTAGAACATAAAGCAACATGAAGCATTGGGAAATATTTTAGCTCATTTCTGTGATGTTTTTGTTCAGGAAGAATAATATGAAAATGTACATTAGAACTTGAATGAAACTACTTCTATCTTGTAGAACTTGAATGAAACTACTTCTATGCTATACATTCTTCAATGTGTGCAACTGATATTGTTTCTTTAGTTAGAAACAAATATCTGTGGGTGTGGAATGGTAATAACATAGTACAGTTGAGATCCAAAAAAGAAATAACAATTAGGAAATAGCATTATTTGAGATCAAAATAGAAAAGGAAAGAAAAAAGACAAAGAGGGTAATTGTGACTGTAAAATTTTGTCACAAGTACAATATGTGTAACAAAATTTTGCTTGCACAAATAAAAATATATATAACATTTAAAAGAAATGTCATAAATGAATACTTCAATTGTAACAGTAAAATAGTGTCACAAGTAATACATTATAGGTAACGAAAATTTGTTGTCACAAATAAAAGTATTTATGACACCTAAAGATAATTGTCACAAATGGACATTTCCATTGTGACAGAATAAAGAGATGCCACTAAAATAATTTTTTTGTGACAATAAAAATTCGGTCACAATTAAAAGCATTAGTGATGATATTTTTGTAACTAAATTTTTTTAGTGACAAAATATCGAATATTAGTGAATTTTTTTTTGGTCACAAATGCACTCGTTTGTTGTAGTGTAGAGATACACATTAAATGGAAAATGCGGGGTGAAGTCGGTACTTTGTCTCTCGGAGTAAGGGCGGGGATGGTATACCAATTACAAACCCGTCCCGGAGTAGGGATGGAGTTGGTATAACGAATTTTCTAACGGGGAGAAGTAGGGTTTAGTCAACTTCGCCCCAACTCCGTCCCGTTGCCATACCTAGCTGAAAGAACATGATTGCTCCACGAAATTTCTGTTCCCTTTGTACTGATCTGATTCACATTCCTTTCAATGAATGATGAAGGAATTCTTCTACTCTGACTGAATTAAATAAATCAATGTTGATTTGAAAATCCTTTCCATTAGATGAAGAATATCATCCTAAATCACTCAATGTTTTAAGTGTGTGCTCCCAAAAAGAAAAATCATACATGTATATTTTTTTCCAAAATCTCTCTCTCAAAGCTCCAACAATAATGCAAAATATAATTCTATATTTATCAAAAGTCTTCTAGGGCAAAAATTGGGAATTCCAACAAGTGCAACTGGTTGGACTTTAAGAGACTTCAAGGAAAGACCATCATGTTGAAGAGTGACCGGTCGGTAATAGTGAGACGGGTTGGACTTTTCCAGATTTTGAAATTTTCAATAAAACAAGTTTTTATCAAGTCCTACCACATCAAACTTGAATTATAAAGTGTCCTCACTCATATACCTATTCTAAGTAATATTTTATCTAATTCCACGGTACGAGGCATTTGTAATTCAGCTCCAACCACCAAGACACAAGGTAAATAAAAAATTACAACTCGATCACCAAATTCTGACACCAAAATTTACCAACATAAATCTGAGTATCTCAGAAAGGATTCTTAACCACGGATACGATTCGCCAAAATTTTAATTCGATGCTGTTCTCAAACAGCAGAAAACATGTATAGCCATCTGACAAGAAAAAAATTATCGCCAATAATTTATCTGTGGGAACAATGACAATAGGGAAAACAATAAGTCCATTATTCATGTCATTTAGAACACTAAAGGCTTGCATGTGACATATTGGTTTTCTTATGAAGCCAAAGAGTCTTTTTGTTCTGTTGTTGACAGGAACTTTGATTGCAGCACAATTTTGTTATGTGAGAGAAAGGCTTGGATGCTGTTGACTTTACATGATTTACAAATGCATAAAATGGCGAGAGAAAGGCTTGGAGTGGAGATTGTCCACTAACTTCCACATAGTGTTCTCTTTCGGGGAGAAAAAAAAAAAATTTCCTCATTTTGTTGGGAAAGCTAGCATATGAATCTGATGTCTTTCAGGACTGAAAATCTGTTACAAGATCAGAATCGCCTCTGGTAAAGAATTTTTTTGATGCATCCTTCACTTTGCAACTAGGTACTTCTTGTACCATGAACACCAACCGAATTATTACATAAAACAAAAAACAAAAAGAAAAGAAAAGAAAATTGTTGAAGAAACTTTGACATGGATAATTGTTGAGGATGTGATTATGCAGTTCAGAGGCACTAAAGCTCATTGTCACATTTGCTGCCATCACACCTGAATTCTCCATTATGGTGTGAATTGAGGCATCCAATTTGACCTATCTACATGATTGATTGTGTTGCATCGCATTCCATTTTGATTTTCGAAAAAACCTTTTATTTATTTGTGTGTGTATATCATTCTCCCAGCTAAGAGGGACATCTTGTGAGATGTGATGTAGTTTTACATCAGAACACTGAAATGCATGACATTTCAAAATTATTGAAATTGTGTTTGTAATTAGTAAAAACCAAAAGGAGATTGTAATGTTACTATATTATGCACCTCATCCATTAAGCATCAATGTCCTTTACTAGATTTTTTATATGTACAGTTGACTTGAAACAAATGCAGCCTAGAATGAACATTTAGCTTGGGGAAAAAAACAGTTCTAATAGAAAAGCAATAGTAGCCTCTTATTAATATCATTCCTTGGAATGATTATTACAATGGATGTCTTATGACTGCTTTATGCAAGCTACATCAATCTATGACTGCATTATACAAGCTACATCGATCTCTGACTGCATTATACAATCTACAAGGTAGACATACATTACTATCAATCTACAAAATTCTCTAGGGACGCAGCTTTATTAACTTGCTCTCTGAATGTAGCCATCCGGAGCCCGGGATAATTATTTTTTCAAAAATAAAGAGCGGAAAAAAAAAAAGGGAAGGCAACAATGGGCATGAAACATCTACATGCCACCCATCTTATTCTTGAAAAACTGAGAGAACGATGGACGACAGAAGTTTTGGTTGAGGAAGAGATCAGAAATGTGGTGCTGCATGGACTCTGTGAGGTGGATCCCATCCCAATTCATGTACTTGTTAGGGTCCTTGCAGCTGGATGTGCCAGGCGAGCCGCATACTGAATTCAAGTTAAAGTTGAGCTTACCATCACCAGCTCCACAACATGCCTTGAAAGGCTCTTCAAAATGGTACTGTTTTGGATGCGTAAATATGTTCAAGTATGCATTCCAGTAATCGGCATACAAGATTTTACAATGAGGGAATTGACCCTGAAACCTTGTAATCATCCGTTGAAGGATTCTGTTGTGGATCATCACCGCTGTGTTGGTAGTCATGGCACACCCCATTTTATCATAATTCTTCCGTGGACATAGCGAAATACCTGATGAAAGGCATCCTACCGGTGGTAGACCATGAACCACAATGTTCTTTGCACCACTTTCCAACAATGTCTATCATATAATACAAACTATGTTAGCTTGAACTCACCAAACTATCATATATTGTTAGAGGATATAAGGTATTGAAGTTACACCCTCTCTAACAGCTTAAGTTTTTAGAGTATATGGTTGATAATTAAAATTTAAAACACGTGTTGGACCAAAAGAAGGTCACAGTGGGAGGGCTAACAGCTTAAACTTTTAGAGTAGATGATTGTTCACATAAAAACATCAGAATAAAAATTTTGTTTGTTTGATGCATACCTGCATAAGTTTGCTCATGTGAGTAATAGACATATCTGCAATCCTCTGAATGTTGAAAGAAGAAGAACCAGAAACCCGAGTATAGTCACTGACACCCATGGCACCGATCCAAATGAGCGATTTTGACATTTCGGTCTTGCAAGTGTTCACATCCTTCCCTTTACAAGCCACATTTTGAACATGCTCATGGAACCATTCTATCTGAGTTTGCACGGTCGTTGTCCTTTTATACATCAATGTGTGAGGTATTG